TCCCTTTATTTAATAGACTCATCTGCGTTTCAACAGATTGAACGCCATCCTCTGGTCCTCCATCTACCTGCGCCACATATCTGGCAATTTACTCCCAACCTAACACTCCCTCAAGATCACTATATTTACACCCGACACCCATCGTCTGCAGGTGAAACGAAGGTACAATGGCCCGCGCAGTCGCTCGTCGTGACGATCGAGCTGCATGTCTGGAGAGATTTGGAGGATGACGAAGTTCTCCGGCTGACGAATTGGGCTTGGGAGCGATGCTCACATGCCTTGCACTTTGGTTCGCGAGGTGGGGAGGGTGGTGGGGATCGTATCGTACATCTGTCTCTAACCGGAGCAGTATCAAATGATGAATATCCACGTGACCATCATTTCCCTCTCCGACGCTCTTCTACCTTGCCATCGCCAAGGCCGATGGCACTTCCTCTACCGCCACCTCGACCAGTGCATTTTCTCTGGCTCTTCCTCGCTCACCTCCCTTCCCAAGGTCTGCGCCATCTTCGAGTTCCCACGGAGCCCGTTACCGGCCTCGGGTTCCGCGAGGCGGACGAGGCACGCCGAACATATACCTCTTCATCGTCACCCTCAACCGTGTGCTCGCGTACCAGTTGTCGGGGAAGGGGCACGGTGCCGCGCCCACGGTAGTCAGCGAGGTCGGCTGTGGACTGGGATGCGTGACCGTTGACCTGCATGCGAAGAATATGGTGGTGGCGAAGGAAGAGGCGATCTTCATATGTGGGACTGATAGCCGGGGCTCGTCGTATGAATATGAATGTACGTTAGCTGTGATGCGGCAAAGTCGCGAGCTGATACGAAAGATGGTCTCGTAGGCGCTCTAATCAAATCTTTGTGTTGTGAGTTGTCCAGCGGCTCGCTCTCCCCTTCTCCGGCACCGTCTCAAGTTGACTGCTTTTAGGCATCAATCGCATTAGCATGGTTTACGCGCAAAACGAACAGCCCGTCGCACTCGACCCAAGGATCCTCATACATATGGATCTTGCTGCAGAATGCTGATATGTCGTATAGAAAGTGACGGTAGACGTCTGCAAGATATACGGGCCGGACAGCGTTTTCTCGCAAAAAACCGAACGTCTCATTCGCTGAATATTCAAGTAGCGAATCCGTGAAGGACGCTCTTCCCGGGCAATGGGTTTCCAGAGGTGTTCACCGCAACGGCAGACGTCCTCAAGCCATACTTGGAACGTGCGATTCTTTTAGTCGACTATGGTGTACGGAAGATCAGTGATGCACTTGCAGTCCTTCTGTCGTGCTCGAGGTGCCCGCTATATCGTAAACCTCCCATCCCTCGGCTCGTGTAAGGATGCGTCGGCATCACCGTCTTGGAGACCCGCGCGCGCCGCCTCAGCGCTCCCATCGCGAAAGATTGACGACGACGATCGAGGGTGAGAGCGCCGCCCGCCGATCCTGCTCGTGCGTTTCCGTGTGCATGCATCAGGGCAGAGCAACGCATCGTCGACCACACTCCAATAACGAACGACCAAGCCACCCACACCACGATGCACGCATATATGCACCGACATTCACCGCACCCGCCGTCGCGACGCAACTGCATCACCTAACGCAAAGGGTGTAATCCGATGAGTGAACGGCCAGCGATACTCATAACTTCATATCCTGTGA